GAAGAAATCAACAACTGTACTCGTTCTACAAGTTGAATATCTTACCTTGACCTAATTATAAATAGTAAATACAAAATAAACGTAAACACGTCCAAGAGAATAAAAATTAAAAAATAAGTGCATGCCAGCGTAAATAATTAATTTATCTCGGAACCTTCCATAAGTGACCGGTTAGGATTCAATCAATATCGAGCAGCTTTTAAATAAACCAGCGCTGTAAATGTCAACCAAGAGTTGAAAAAGTTCTACTCCGATATATTAATAACTTAAGTTTGAATTATTTGATATAAAACAAGCCTTAATTAAATATTTGTTTTATAAGTAAAAACTATAAGCTATTAACAATATTATAATGTAATTTAAATTAGTCTGTGATTAATAAAAAAATTTAATGTTGTAAAAAAATAATTCCTATTCCTATATATTCATTTATTTATAATATTTTTAATATGGTAAATTTCATATGTATAAAGAATAAAAAATTATACAAAATATATTATATTAAAAATAGAATACCACCAGCTGCGGAATCCCACGACTCAATAACCAGTGGTCAGGGCTACAGTGCAGTGATAGAGTTTCTATCGTATTATTCCTATGTTTAATAAATAAAACGCTTCTATTTATACTAAGGCGTCAATTTAAAAGACTTACAAGTTTTCCCCTTTAAAAATAACTAGCTTTCTCCCACGACTACGTCTGCACGGAAAAAAAACAACTTAATTATCCTATGTGTTCTTCCAGACTATGATCTACATCCGTGACAAATTTCATCTAGATCCGTTCAGCCGTTCTGGAGATACATACAAACAAACATTCATCCATCCATCCATCTAAACATTTGCATTTATAAAATAAATAAGAAGTAATATAGTGAGATTGAATCATTAACTTATTAACTTGATGGATTAATTGTTAACTATTCTAATTCAATTTCAATAACTGTGTATCATCATATTTATAAATTCAACAAATGTTACAAGGAAATCTTATTGAATACAAAGAAAAAAAAACATTTATAACTTAATAAATATAAAATGTACTTTATTAGCGCGTCGATAAATAATGCGCAATTAACATAATGTTTCGAAGTTGCACAGACTCTATATAAATATTAAAATAACATTCAACAGGTGAGTCACGCAAAACAATCGAGATGCGTTGCAGCTACGCTCACGAGTTTCCACTGCCGAAACATTTGTCTAATATAATATAGTTATCTCTGTTATTACAAAGCGTATCGTGATGTCAACATGTTTTTTTTATAACAGAAGGGGTCAAACGAGCAGCAGGAACACCGAGGTGTTCAACGACGCCCATGGACATCAGCAATACCAGAGGAACCGCAGATGCGTTGCCAGCCTTTGGGATGGTGATTAGCTCGCTTCTTGAAGGAGCCTAAGTCGAAGCGGTTTGAAAATACCGCCGAGGACAGACTATTTTCCACAACGCTGCTGTGCGAGGCAGGAAGTTTCGCGCAAACCGCACGATTTTTCAAAAATATTTTGGTAGTAGGAATCCATGATTTTGATTACTCTGGTAATTACTTCATTCCATACCTGCACTCTGCATTTTTATTATCAAATACAAAATAATGTACAATAATTTCATTATGTAATCTATTTTATTAAAACTTTCTCAATATAATTTAGCAAATTTTCTTACAATACGATGAAAAACATAACCTTAACCTTCAAATAACCATCGGAATTATGAAACGTGCAGAGGAAAATCAATACAAAAAGGAAGCCTGATTACATTTCCCCTTAAAGGATAATGTTTGCGTTGGAAATTAAATAGTAGGGGCGAGTGGACAATAGATTTATTAAAAAATATTGATCCTCAGTCGGAGCTTTGATGTCAATGAGAACGTATGATGTCTTTATAAGGGTTGATATTGGTTTTTATTATTCGCATCCACAAAAGATAGAGTACACCCTTTCATACAACACTAATTGGTTCTAAAGTCGATATACCGTAGCTTTAATATCATTATATCTATGTTTATAAAAAGGTTTGAAACATTGTATTGTAATATTTCAATCATGAATAGGACACTTTTAAAAACTAGATAATTGAACGAATCACCAAATGTACACTAACGCTATTAACCAAAAACCTACAGATTACTAATGAGTCTAGAGAGTTTGTAATTTTTAGTACTTCTTAACTATTTAATAGTAAGGATTTAAAAATATTTATAACTAGCTGTCGCTCGCCACTCCGTCCGCGCGCAATTAAAAAAAAAACATAACTATTTGGCTTTGTGATCTTCCAAACTATATTCTACATCTTTACGAAGTTTCAGCGAGATCCATTCAGCCGTTTATATGGGAAAAAGAAAAGGGCTGTTTTTAGAGTTTTCGCTATTTTTATACCTTCCCTAGACCTCCACGAACATTTCAAGACCAAGAAAAGATAAATCCATTCACCCTTTCTCGAGTTTTAGCAAGACTAACAAACAGCAATTGATCGTACCGTACCGTACCTCATAGGAAATAAACGGAACCCTTGTAGGGTCACTTTGTTGTCCGTCCGTCTGTCTGTCAAGAACCTTTTTTATGTATACAGATAGATAGATGGAATGGTTACTGAATCGAGTTGAACAATTTATATAATTTCTCGTTAATCATGATATAGATAGTAGCATCTCCACAAAAGTAAAATGGCATACCAGTTAAAGAGTTCCCATTGAAGTTTGATAATCATCAAAGTTACACCTCTGTGGAGTACAGAAGCTAGGATTAATTGGATGCGAATCGGGATTACGCTCAGTTGCTTGTTGTGCAAACTTCATCTGAACTGTACCCTTTCCCTTTGTACTGTGCAAACTATTTACGAATTGTCCAGGCACCGTTTTCAATGGTATGTGTTGAAGTAGCTACATACGTGTAAAATTTTATATGCTCGTACTATATTACTAGTCTTACTTATATTATAAATGCGAATGTTTAAATGGATGTATGTTTGTTTGAAGACATCTTCAAAACGGCTTAACAGATCTTGATCAAATTTGTTTTTTATTCCGTACGAACGGAGTCGCGTGCAATCGCTAGTATATTACTTTACCTCCTCTAACGTGTGAATAAATCGTATACAACACTCGTATGTTCTTAATAAACTAATTAATAAAGATTAGAAGCATAACAAAAGGTGACGAGAAGTCTCAAGATGGATGAGACGCAACAAGTTTATGCCACCACTTAAAAAAAACACAATAAGATACTTCACACATAATGCATCCGATGCTTGCATATTTAGACGGATTATCACCGGATAACTAGTATGGGTGGAGTACACATTCCAAGCTATAACAATTATTAAATGGAATGTAGTGAAACTACATAATTATTCACAAACCAAAGCGTAGTTTAACTAGATCTGGCACATACTGCGTCACAAAAACTGACTCAATATTTTTATTACGTTTATCACTATTTACGGAAATATAATCTTATATATAAAATACTCGTGTCACAATTTTCGTTCCCATACTCCTCCGAAACAGCTTGACCGATTCTCATGAAATTTTGTGAGCATATTGAGTAGGTGTGAGAATTGGGCAACATCTATTTTTAATCCCGCGCGGACGGAGTCGCGGGCGACAACTAGTTTATATGTAGATATATACTCAGTTGTATAAAGTTACATATCGCTTAAAATCTATTTGAAAAACTACATCAAGAATCGTTCCTTCGTCAATAACTTCTCAAAAGTAGAAAAAAAGCGATTCAAATCTTCGACTGAATTTTTCTGTTTACAAAATGTATTCGTTTGTCTAAAACAACATTTGCAAAGTTTAAGTAGTAGGTAAATGAAAAGAAAAGAAAATCCAAGTCTACAAACTTCGGGTTCAGTTAACAAAAAAGGTCAAGGCCTCCACAAGTCTGTTGATTTATGTTGAAAGTATGTAGCTGATGCCCGCGACTCCGTCCGCGCGGAATTAAAAAAAAAAATTAGTCTTTGTGTTTTTTAAGCTACATCCTACATCTATGGAAAATTAAATCGAGATACCGTGTTCCGTTTTGGAGATACCTTCTAACAGACATCCATCCATACATCCCAACTTTCGCATTTATATTAGTAAGATATTCTTTGAAAGCCATAAAAAATCTATAGCGAGTTCAACATCAACAAGAACGTACTGAAGGTAAAGGGTACCTTTTGCTTTTGTTTAAAGAAAAAGTCAGTGCATTTATTCGACTTCTCAAGTTAAAAACGAGTAAAAGGACTGCAAAACTTTTGTTAGTTTTCTAAGACATTTGTATGTAATTTGTACCTGCGCCTCTTTTTATAGCTGATGTTATTGTTCAAGTTAATTAGAAAATAATTTTAAATAATTAAAATATAGATAATACTAAAATTATAATTTTAGCTTGTTCCATATACGTTACCAACCTTTAAAAAGGGAATTAGGAAAGAAGTGAGTTTGGCTATTCGTATATCTTTTAAATAGTACCGGCCGAAACTACTTTAAACTGGTTTTAAGTGACATCATGATATTTCTACAACATATACTTACCGGTGTCTTCTTGTGAAGATAGACTTAATTTTTCTTTCTGTAATTTGTTTTTCACACGTACATTTTCTTTTAGGTGTCGATCACATTAGCGTTGAAAAATCGCATCTAAATCGAATGAGATGCGACTATATCTATGTAACCCTACATGACTTGGATTACACTGAGCTATGAGGAGCTTTTTTGTCTACCTTTATATAAGTCATGTCATGATTTAGTAGCGATTATTATTTATATATCTCTCAAGGATATGATTTAACATTAAGGTTTATAAAAACCTTGACAACCAACCCCACATGAGTGAGATAAGGCCAGGAAGAAGTTAGTCATACTTATTAAGGTGTTCGTAGTTATTAAGATTTCCTGTATTCTAAAGAAGTTCCTATTTCAAACAGTGAGTTGTAATATTTTGCTCCCCGGTGTGTAATAGTTGGTTTTATAATTGAACCTTTTTGTACTTACTGAATGATGAAATACTTACCATGTTGATGTGATCTCAAGTAGTGCGCCGTGAGTCTGAGAACGCTTGTCTTGTCAACTTTCCGTGTCATAGCCTGGACAGGTGGTACGATTTTGCTTAGTTCCTTAATAGCTTTATTCATCTTGTCTCGACGCTGTTTTTCAGCTTTGTTCCGCAAGTCTCTCGGCGATTCCCTAAAATCAAAATAATGATAAGACATGTGGTTCCAATTTTTTCATCTTATTTTACGTAATATTAACCTTTTGATACATTATTTGGCTCTAAAAATTATAAAAGTGTGGTCAAAGATAGGGCTGCCGCCTTTCAATAAAACCGACCGACCGACAGTGACCCTATGTTAACCCTTGATCTTGACCCGAAAACATTCTCGTAGACGCCAGACCCTTAGCCTAAATATGCGATGCAAACTCGATAAGTTGCAACCAATTACAAAAAAATAGCAGCCCTGATTATCCAGTTTTGCGAATGCGTAGTACATTGCGTTCAAGAATGCATCAATAATAAAAATCAACGAAATCTGTTATGTAACTAAAAACAAGGTTAACATGACAAGTTTTAATGAATAAAAAAATAATAAGCATTTATTTATACCACTTTGGAATACGAATCCATTGTTGTTGAAAAAAGCTAATATGGTAAAAATATTGCAACGTTTCTGTGTAATGTAATGTACTTTGCAGTGTTAGAACAGGCGTTTTTTTCATTGGCAGGCTTGAATGAAATAATATAGACAACGCAATAAAAAGCGCTGACGGAAAAAATGTAAACAATATTCTAATTCGTTCCAAATAATGTCAGGTTAATTCGAAACAGGTTTTTTTGTGACTGATGTGCCACTGTTTGCCTTGAGGCATTTACAGCTTCACCGGGCTTGAGGTGGCCGAGCGCAGATGGCACTTAGCTTAAACCTCGTTTAAGAGTAAGCGAAACGTAGGTAAATTACAAAAAGAAGTCGCATTTATTATGAAAAGAATAAGCTTGAATCAAAAACTGAAGAGGATTCACATTTATTTAAAACGAATGCTAAGAAGATTAGACCTGGCATTACTATTGAATATAATTTCTGACAAATCGTGTAAACGACCATTTTTCAATTACAAACATTTCGTTCATGTAAAGTTTCGAGATGTGTTAAAAATTTTAATGGAGTTACGTGAAATCGAACAGTTTCAAAAGTACGCTAACAGGAAATTCAAACTGTTAATTTGTTTTTTCGTTACAGCACCTGTAGTCGAAATTTTGGCAGTTTCCAATTACATTTTTTTTAATACAACTGACTGTATCTGGGGGCCCTTTTTTAGATAGATGCTATACGGTTTGAGCGATTGGGGTGTTGCGTACCTTCAACGCTATTAATAACTGTGGTGTTTTCAGTGACTTTTTAACGTACACACAATTTTTAGGGTTCCGTACCTCATACGAAAAATGGAACCCTTATAGGATCACTTTGTTGACCGTCCGTCTGTCAAGACTCCTTTTTAAAAACATAATGTTACTATCGTTAAAAAAATCAGAGATGACGATAATTTCTAATACATATTTTCCAGCAATAGAAATTCTGAATAAGACGAACTTCTTTCATCTTAATCATGCCAATTTGTATAAATGTATAGTAATATTTCAGTGCTGCTCCCATGCGACATGTCTCTTAAGTTTCAAACAATAGAAAAATTCATTTGACATTGGTAAAAATCTACCTACCTATAGGGTTTCATTTAGCAACATTAAAGATTCTGTACAAAAATACCTTCAAGCCGTATAATGAATATGTTTTCTGTTTACGTTAATAAGTTCAAAGGGCAAGATAACTTATCTTATTTACTTTTAAGTGCTTTTGCAACAACAACTCAACCAGCAACATTGTGCCTATTGTTTACACCGTTCATATATTGATTATATCCAAATGAAAACAAATCATTTGGATGTTTACGACACTGGAACATCCTGGAAACCAATTATTTTGTCACTTCATTAAGTTCGGTGAAATTAAATCGCCTCATTAAATATGAGAACACCGATGACTACTCGATTATCTGTCCAGGTTAACTGCTTTCGGTAATTTGAGATATGCCGTCCTTATGTTAAATATTAATTAATGAGCATGTCATATTACACTGACTGTCAGAGCCAGCAAATAAGGTAGAAGTTTGGTTAAACAGCTTGATAAGGATTATAGTCTACTACTAGTACTACGAGTATGTATATTATTTATTACTAGCAATCTGTCATATCTTTTCTCAGGTAGATACAAAAATATATAACCTCTTTGATTTGGAAAATAATAATAGTGTTAAATATTAGTATCTTACTAATTTATAAATGCCAATGTTTAGATGGATGGATGGATTGTTTGAAAGTATCTCAAGAACTGCTGTACGGACCCTGATGATTTGGCATAGATGTAAAACATAGTCTGGACCACATAGGCTACAAATTATGTTCTTTAATTCCGCACAGACGGAGTCTCGGGCTACAGCTAGTTGTGAAATATTTGCTTGTTAGTGTGTTAAAATTAAACACTATCACATTTAAACTTTATAGCGACTGGTCGTTAGCTTAGCAGGTCTCCCTAGGTGGGTCCAGCGCGGCCAGTGAAAACAAAAGGTATGTTGGGGTGGGCTTAACCCCACATCCCTTCACTTCCCGCCTTTATTTAAAATTGTGTGGAGTGAAACTTCTCGATACTGCAAGCATAAAGTTTGGATAGTACTGTCGGCACCACGTTCCGTATCCGAGATAGGAGAGTTCGCTATTAATTATTTTGTTATCAGACATGTCAATTTGCGAGTTATAACAGTAAACAAGTCCTATATTCCAACAAGATATACCATGTCTCTTGTACGTACTTATACTCAATAAACAATCTTTTACCACGCAGTAACATTTAATTTTATCCTTTATAGCGATGTACAAGTAGGAGATATGCCGAATAGGTACCCGGTAATGAGTGTTTACAATTTTAAATGTATTATTATGACTATAATTAATAGCCTATAGTCTAGACTTGTTGACAATGGAATTTTCTGTAAAGAAGCACGTTGTTCTGCTTGCAACGTGATATCAAAATTATAATAGGCATAATTAATTAATGCGTGTTGAAATTTTGACATTATTTACGATTATTACCTAGACCTTTAGTTTACTTTAATTATTTTAATGGCCGTGTTACGTAATTGGATTTTTTACATCTTGCCAATTGTATACTTAAATCAATTTTGATTTTTATTGTCGACAGCAAGGATTTTTATTGCACTCTGCTTTAAAAATGTAACAAAGGTAAATACGTCTTAAATTGCTCTGTTAACTAAGACAAAAAAAACGCAAAGAGTTTGTCATCTTAAATTTTTTGGACCTTTTGTGATTTACGTAAAATAATGAGTGTACGTTTGGCTCCAGACAGGCGGCTGATCGCGAGTTTAGTCAATACATAAAGGTTTATAAAATGTTGTGCGCCGTCACGTGATAAAGATAAGGATAGAGAGATGAGCAATCGTTAGAGATTAGCGTGGTTTGGACATGTTATGCGGAGGGATGATGATAATATAAGCAAACAAATAATGAGATTGAATGTGGATGGCTACAAAGGTAGAGGAAGACCAAAAAAGTATGGAATGACTATGTGAAAGAGGATATGCGTAGGAAAGACGTAGATTCGGATATGACGGCTGCTTTAGCTATATGGAGGAGTAGTACATACTATTCCGACCCTCAATAGGGATAAATGCAGGTTAATGATGCGATGAGCGATCGTTAATCTTTGTTAGCTTTACTAAAAGCTAGACATTCGTTTGGTTACAATTACCATAAACAATGATACTGTTTGTTAAAATAACAACTGTTTAACTACATATCATATGAAGTTCGTGATAAAATTAAAAACAAACATTCAAAATTAATGTTTGGTAAAGTTATATTGTTGTTACATTCCATGTTAATGATTAACTAATTGAGCTTTAAGAAGCCATTGCTGGTACGCCGCGTAAGCTATTTTATTGTGTAAACAAAAAGGGTTATGTTTCAATTATTGTCTTGCTTATAAATTAAGTAAATATAAATACCAATCTGTACGTATTTTGGCACTAAATTTTGATAACAAATCGTTCGTGTTGTAATTTAATTAAATTTTTCGTAATTTGGCAATAAAGTTGCCGGCGCATATAACGTCAAAGATTATGTAGGATGCATCTCACCTCGCCAATGCCAAAAGTAAATATAGACCACGTCGGTATTAAATATTACGCTCGATCGCCAAGTTGCTTTGAAAAATGCACACACTATAAGTTTCTTTTTTGTTTAAATGACATACGATTGGAGATTTAAATAGAGAAGAAAATAATCACCTGTTATTATACAAAAAATATATAGATGCGTAACTATTTTCTGTGTATTAAAAATATTTTGCGGCAAATTAAATGGGCGACGATTTATTAAACTTGAATTACTTATTGTAGTTAATTTTAAATTAGTAGTTGCTGTTTTTTTATCTATATTGTGTTTATTAAAGTTTTTTTTGCTTTAACATTAATCATCACCAGCTCACTATACGTCCCTACTAAAGGGCTCAGAGCCTACTCTAAGTTAGGGGTGACTAGGCCATAGTCAACCACGTTGGCCAAGTGCTGGTTGGTTGACTTCACACATATCTTTGAATTTCTTCGCATATATGTACAAGTTGCACTACGATGATTTCCTTCAGCGTAAGAACGTCGGATAAATGTGCATATGCTTATCAAAAAACACATAGGTACATGGCGGGATTCGAACCCAGAACCTGCAGATTACAAGTCAAGTGCTTAACCCCTGAACCACCAACGCTCTCGTTGAAATGAATCTGTTTATCATTTAATACCTATTAAATTATATATTTAAGTGAGTCAGATTTCATATTTAGAATTTCTGTCAGTACTCGTATGTTGGTAGTACAATAATCGACATTATACTTTAGAAAAAAAAATCTTTTGTCATTTAAATTCAACACAAAAAAATATCTCGTGTCTTCAGAATCTCAAACTAGTTCATTCTATCGAACAATAGAATATCGTATGATGTTTGATAATTTTTGCGTTGTTCAGACCTCGACCCCACATCCCGGTTTATGTCTGGCATTGATAACATTCATTGGGAACAAATTTGTCTCAATACGTTCAGGGTTTCTGAGAAGTTTGTTTATGAG